AAACCGGCTTCGTTTCTGGTTCGCGGTGCGCGACGCGCGCGCGCGGGCGAGGCGAGGCGAAGCTGCGCTGGATGAGAGGACATGACATGTTGTTTCCACCCTCCCGGGGCGGCTGGAGCGTGCCCGAGAATGTTTCCCCCGGTGGTGCCAAGGTAGTCCCAGGAGGAGGAGGAGGAAGACGTTTCCACCCTCCCCCGGCGACTGGAGCGTGCCCGGGAATTGTTCCCATGGTAGGTGGAGAAGGAGGAGGAGGAGGAGGAGGATGAGGAGGAGGAGGTGGAGATGGAGGAGGAGGAGGAAGAGGAGGAAGAGGGAGGAGGAAGGAGGAAGGAGGATCCTCGGGTGGGTGACCCCCCCCCTCTGCAGAGCAGCACGACGGAGGGATGCCCACCACGGGCGGGGGCGGGGCCGAGAAGTGCCACCCACTGCTTCTGCGGAGATGTCCGCGAAGCCGATGCGATGCAGAATGCAAGACCTAATCAAACTTTAGGAGGCAACTACTGGGAGGTTTTCGTCGGACGGATTGAAGAGGATTAAGCCCCATTGGGGGGCTGTTACGCCAAAATGGGCCACGGATCAAGCGGGATTAAGCCAGATTAAGCGGGATTAAGCCGGATTAAGCGGGATGAAGCCTGATTAAGCGGGATTGAGCCGGACTTCGGACCAGGGCTAAATCAGAATTTGACCTCCCAGGAGTTGCATCCGAACAAGCTGGCTTGACGCGGCCGGACCACCTTGAGAAAGGAACAGCTCTCATCGCGCAGAAGCGACCGCGGTGGCCTGGTCCCATGTGCCTCCATTCCCATACCCCGGAAGCTATTTACGAGGTCACGCGGTGCTCCACGAAAGCGCGCGCGCTCGACAGATGCGTTGCTGCGTACACGGCATTGGCCACGTCCACGTTCAAACATGGTGGCAGGAGACCCCAGCATCGAATCGGTGTCGGATCGGCGATCGAAGTGAACCAGATCGGCGGAAATCGGCAGATTACAGTCGACCTGTAGCATAAGGATGCCCGATATGGACGCCCACTTCGAATCTTTCTGAGCGGTGCGCGGCCAACGAAAGTGGTCAAGGATGGACCGAGGAGGCAAGGATACGAGGGTACCCTTGGGAAGGTTGCCCATCCTTTCTGTGCGGGTTGACTATAGGAAAGCCTCCATTGAGAATCGGAACCCAAATCGGAAGCTGGAATTGAGTCGAATCGGATCGGAATCAGAAGCCATCGAAATCGAATCGTATCGAACTGTAGGGGCCGAAATAAGCCCAGCTAGGTGGGCGGAACTCGCGGCGGGTGCACGGAGTTCGCAGTGCCAGAACCGCGCGGAGTTATGACGAGAGAAAGAGAAGATGGGGAAAGGAGGAAAGAGAGGAGGGAGGAAGTACGGAAGAGAAGAGGGATAGGAGGAGAAGAGTGGGGAGGAGGAGGATGGGAGGGGGGCCTGATCAGCAGGCCGCCCAACCTCGCTAGGCTCGCACGCAGTGCTGACAGTGCCCTGCTGCTTCACGTGCGTGTTCCAAACCTCCTGGTGCCCAAAGGCCACCGCCACGAGCCGCACTGCCGTCTGCGACCGCGCCGCTGCAGCCTGTCGAGCTCGACCACACGTGCGCCCCTCAGTGGAAGTGCGGGCCACGGGCATCCCGAACACGCGCGACCTGCGTCGCGCAGGGACGACGCCAGCGGCGGCATCGACACATTCGGGCGGTGCCAGCGGCGATCACGGTAGAGGTCAACAGAAATCCACCCCCATGATAACCGCCCCGACACGCGAAGTCGTTTAGCAAACGCGCCCAAAGAGGGAATCAAACAGGGCAGGGCTGTGTAATAAACGCCCAAGGCCGTTTAGTAAACGCCAATTGTCTGGTCCAGGAGGAGGAGGAGGAGGAGGAGGAGGAGGAGGAGGAGGAGGAGGAGGAGGCGGCGAACCCAGCGCGGTCAGGGCAGCGCGCGCACACTCCGCCCCAGCGCGGGCCTCGGCCAACTGCGGCCGCAAGAGCCAGACCAACCCGTAACGACCCCGGCGCACCGCGCCGCCCGTCGCTTGGCAGACGAGCGCCGCCAGAGCATAGTTGCCGGGACCTCCCCCGAGAGGAGTCCTACAACCCTCGTCAAAAGTGACCTCAAACATGTCTTGCGTGGCTGAATTGTTTGTGGAGAGATACTGGACAGAGTAGCAGTGTCTGCGAGGTACTTGTGTGCGCCGCCCCTCCAACGTCGGTCATCATCGAACTTCCGAGTCGTTCCCAGTCAGACCACTTTTGCCCTGGCCCCGACATTGGAGGCGCGTCTATCGACATTGAAGGCCGCGCCGACATCACAGGGGCGCGGTCGCCATTTTTGATGTTGATTTTGACGAGGGTAGTAGCAGGGTTGAGCCAAATTGGCTACAGGCGAGAGCCTCTCTCACCCTCCCCTCCCGGCGATCTCTCGGAGGGGAGCAGCTGACGGACGGGCCTGCACCCCTACAGGCGGATTTTGGACGAAAACTTCAAAATACTCCAGAAATACACCGAAATTGGAGAAAAAACAAAAAAACTATGACAAAATCGATCCCATACTATTTTTGACTACTTGGGAATATTCCTCCTGTAGAGGGACAGGCCCGACTTAAAAGCAGCCCTGACAGTGGCGCGCACTTCCAGTCGGGGATCTCCTGACCCGGGTCAACCCAGACCCGGGTCAGCCAGGGCTTGCAGAATCCTGCAAGATCCTGCAAGACCCTGCACCCAAACCCGGGTCAATGCGCAGGATCCTGCAAGATCCTGCAGGGTCCTGCACCCAAACCCGGGTCAGTGGGAGCCTGGCCCTGCAGGATCCTGCAAGATCTGGCGCTCTGGCTGACCCCCATTTGCATTCCCTGATGGTCCGCTACCGAAAATTTCCGGTAGCGCTCCGCAGAGATCGGTCGCTACCGAAATACCGAAATGTAGCGCCCAATACCGGTATCAGAGCGTTCTGAAATCCGCTATTTCAACGCCCTCAAACGAAGATCCGGTCGCTACCGAAATTCGGGGTGCGTCGAAATCGCTACCGAAAATTTCCGGTACCAGCCCATCTGGGTTGACCCCTGTCTCAAAGCTCCCGATCCAGAGGCCAGCGAACGACGCCTTTGCCACGGAGGAGGGCCGTCCGGGGGCGCTCCCGGCGCTCCCCGGAGAGCTCTCGGCGGGGGCGGCCGCCGGAGAGCCCTCCACGCAGCCTGCCGGTCCTGTCTCTGGGCGCAGGCGGTCGGAGGAGACTCAAGGGGCCAAGGACACACACACACACACAAATAAATGCGCACAAATAACGAGATTCCCCATATTTTCCCATATTTCCTGGCTTGTTGTCTTCCCCCCCACTTCCCATATTTCCTGGCTTGTTGTCTCTGGGCGCAGGCGGTCGGAGGAGACTCAAGGGGCCAAGGACACACACACACACACACATCCCTAAGGGCTTGACGACTTTTCGCCAATCGACTCGTGAGGATCGAGCCAGGTAAGTCCAGGTAAGCGCAGATAAATCGATGTAAATCCAGGTGAGTCGAGATCAATCCGGGTAAATCCAGGTAAGTCCGGAGATCTCCAGGGAAAGTTGGAGCAACCCGCCTCCGCTCCAGCGCGAGTCGAAGGGCGGCAGAAGTCATTAAGCCTTTAACGAACACACACACACAAATAAATGCGCACAAATAACGAGATTCCCCATATTATCCCATATTTCCTGGCTTGTTGTCTTCCCCCCCACTTCCCATATTTTCCCTTATTTTCCTGCGAATCGACGATTAATTGTGTCTGTGTTTTTTCCCCCTCCTGAGAGATGGACCTTCCAATTTCATTATTCCCCGTGGTTTGAGCAGGGACCGACCGTCCTGGCATTCCTATGGGCTTACCGCACAAATAATCTTAGATCCCCAGACATGCTCCAAGAACAGCAACAACAATGTTCTTAGAACATAAGCCCGATGTGTGAAAACAAGACAGTCCCAGCCAGAAATGGTCTGAGAACATTTCGCGGAAACCACAAAAGGTCCTTAGAACATTGTTCGGTAGACCTATAGGCACGACAAGACGCTTCGCCACTGCTTGAGTCTTTGGGCGTAGGCGGTCTGAGTTTGACCTTCCAACTTCCCTCTTCCTCGTGGTGGGGAAGTGTACCTCTCCCCCATACCCCATCTCCCTGGGTTTGGGGGGCCCAGCCGCGGGACGTCGGGCCCAAGATGGACCAATATGACTGCAAGGTGGCCACAGATAACCCAAGATGGATTCCAAGATCGCACAAGAAAACCCAAGATGGTTCAGGACAGCCCCCCAGCGCTGAGGCCCTAAGAACGCCCCAAAAGGGCCCTACGTGGCCACGGAACCTCCACGGACCCCCCCTGGAGGCCCAAACCCTTCCAAAATCGAGGGACAGTCAGTGGTGCTTGCTCTCTCGCCGTTTCGCTTCCAGTGGGCACTTCAAGCCTCAAGAGGACTCCAGGATGGCCCAGCAGAGCTCCTGAGAGGGCCCGACAGAGTGTTGGGCCTCCGAGGGGGGGAGGGGCGTAGTTGGTTACGCCCTCCCGTCTTTGATCGACAGCCTCCAAGATGGCCCAAAGAGCGCTCCCAAGGACCCCAAGAGTTCACCCAAGGAGCCCTCAAGATCTCCAAAAAGGTCCAAGATAGCCCAAATGAGCTGCCAACGACCTTCCATATCCAAATATCCGCGGTTGCAATATGGTTTACTTTTGGGCCTGCTCCGGCTGATCCCGATATTCTGTCTGACGGCTGCGCCCCTCTTGGTTCCGCTACGTGCTCGCAATGTTCCTTGGTTGATGTAGCTCGCCTGGGCATCGCTGCTGAATGGACTGCTGGGGATACACGAATCGACAGGACTTTCCGATACTTCCCAGACCTCTTCCTTCCCGTTCCACCCTCCCCCTTCTTCGACGTCCCCCCCCCCCTCGCCGCGAGGCCACTACAGAAGAAAGAACAGCAAATTGAACAAAACCGACCAGCGCCCGCGAGACCTCCAAGGCCCCGGCGTCCTGGAAGGCTTCCCGCTGCCGTTCCCGCTGCCCTGGTCAGCAACGCTCCGCGGCGAAGTATGGCAAGATATCCTGTTGCCGCGTTCGGTGGCCTGGCGCCGGGGGGTGTCCGAAAAAGTTGCCCGCTCGGGGAAAGGGGCCTGGCTAAGCTGTCCTATTGGTATGCAGGTACCCTGCGCGTTACTTCGGCCTGTACGCGTAGCGACGGATGAACACCTTCCTTGTCCTTTAGCTGTTCCTCCTCTATTATTCCTCCCCCTCCTCCTCCTCCCCCTCCTTCCCCCCCTCCTCCTCATCCTCCACCTCTTCCTCCTCCTGTCCCTTATCTCCCTCCTCCTGCTCTAAGTGTTCGAATGAAGGATTCAGTGAAAGGCCGATCCCCTCCCGAGGAATTACCCGTTGGTAAAGGCGGTAACGTAGGAGGAAAGACGACAATGAACGTTTCACCCTTTGCCACTAGTCCAAGAGTCAGCGCGTGTTAAGCAATGCTTGCGAGCCGAAAAAGGGGCAACGGGCACAGGAAACGATAGGAAACACTAGGGGGCTCATTCGCACATCCCCGTCCCAAAACCCGACCCGCGAGACGCCAGAAACGACGCGCAAGGGAAAGGGTGCGGGGTCGAAGGAAATGAACCCCGACCTAAACTGGCTGTGCACCGCGCTGTAAAGCCCCAGGCGGCGAGGATAGTAGGAAGGGACTGTGTATGGGGTTGAAGTACAAGGGCACAGAACCCCTGATCCGCTGGGAGAGGGAAGGAGGGATAGATGGATGTCTTTCCCTCCTGCACGGTCAAAGGTCTGATCGATCTGTCCCAATGCCTGAGCCCAAACGGCCAGGCGCAGGAGAGGTGAGGATAAGGAGTATATATGAGGGTATTACACGGGTTCTATTCACACCCCCCGCCCCGAATCCCGCCCGCGAGGGTAGGACTCGGGAACAGAGGAAAATAATCCGTCACCCTTTTACTCCGTTAATCCTCCGGTCTGCAGGCAGCTGAGCTTAAAGTCAGTAGAGCCTCAGCTGCAAAGCAAGGTAAGAAGGAACACCCTGGGTCCCGATTTCTTCGCCAAGCACGCTTTGGCGCCCCCTCGGCGCGCCCCCCAAAACGCTTCGGCACTCGAGGGCGGAGAAGAATGAGACGCGGATGGGCGGATAAAGAAGATCTGAGCAATAAGGCAACTTGTAATCTGCCTCGCATTTGCGAGGCAGGTGTTGCCACCAGCTGTCATATTATTCTCAACGCAATGTAGTTATACTGTAATGAATATGCACGCTGAGATCGTGTTGATGAACACGATCGTGCTACGAAACGCAACTATATATCAAAGCAAATGTCTGGCCAGACGAAAGGTCGCGTTGACAAACACGAAAGTTGCATGTATGTAAATTCTATATGGCGGCTCCCGTTGGCGCTGCTCCTTAGGAGGCAGCCTTGGTTATCGCAAAGATGTTTTTATGCGTGGTCACTTGTGTTGTATAGTGAAGTCGCCTAGGAGTATATAATAGCCGCCGCTCTAGGCGAACTTGGATTATAATGAAGTTCAAGCCTTTCGAGCGGTGGGCCTCGCGGCCGACTCACTACGCGCTGCCGTTCTTGTAGAACCTGCGGTCCCACATCCTACGGCCATCGTACGTCGCGTAGCTCGTCGCGAACGTCTCCCAAACTGTCCTCGGGATCCAGTGAAGAAACCACTTGTTGTACTGGATGTCGCGGATGTATGCGAACTCGTCGTTGTTCAGCGCGATGTAGAGCCAGCAGTTGATGCAGTAGCTCCAATACCTGAGGCCCCAATGACTGTCCTCAAGGTCGTCGCGCCAATAGGCGGCGTAGTCTGTCGCACGCGCTCTCTTGGCGCGCGGCCCCGCGGGCATGTGGTCCGCCGCGCCAGAAGCGCTGGGCTGTGCAGCATCGCCAGGGGCAGGGCGCGGCGGCGGCGGCGGATGGCGCGGCTCCATGGCATCATCAGACTGATGGGAGTGTGTATCAGGTTCGATCGGATCGGTTCTCATCCCTGAATCAACCCCCCATCTGGTCGGTGTGTGTCGGATCGAGGGAGCCCAACAACTCGTTAGCAATCGCAGCAAGCTTGCGCTGCGTGACTTTCTCACGGGTGCCATCCCTTCTAGGGAGGGCAATCGCGACAAGTCCGCGAGCTTGCCGCGTTTGTCTGTCGAGTCTGCCCTCGTTCAACCACCATTTCTTCCGACCGGTTTGGCCTGTCCTGATGCTGGTATCGAGGATCGCGCATGCATCACGCATGTCGTCCACGTTCCAGGCCTTCTTGCCCACGTTCACGCGAGCGCCTGTCATTTGGTGGTGGAACTTCAAACCGTTGAGAAAACGCTGAACGAGATTGGCAGATGGGTAGTACAGAGGTCTGTCGTCATCAGCCTCGCCCATCAATCTGCACTCGTGTGCAGGAGGGCGGCCAGAGTCGACCCACTTCTGATACCTCTTCCTAGAGGAATTAGCCATTCTCCTCAGCGAGTCTTTCTCATTACCTGGGAATGAGCGCGCGCCCGTCATGATGACTTGCGCTCCGTCTTTCATGTACCTCGTGATGTCATCCTGGGAGAGCGTCATCTTGATCCAGTTGGCCAGCTTGTGGAGGTATGCTAGGTCGCTCTGGACGGCGGTACTTTTACCCGTAGCACCCACGGCCACGGTGTACTGCCAACAGATGTCACAAAGGGCACCATCACCTGTAACAATCCCAAGGGATAAGTCTCGACCGCAATTCCGACATCGCGCGATATCATGCAGGATCGTTGCTGGGGCTCCCTCCGTCGTGAGGTGCTCACGAGATCCCCAGCGAGTATCCTGACCACGAGCAAGACTGCGGCCGATCTGATCCATGGCTTCGCGGTTGATCTCGGCGTTCGGTCGGGAAGCGATTGATCTACTCAACCCCTCGATCTCGATCCTAGACAATCTTTCCCCTGGCAGCCCTATGTACTCTGTCGTGTCGTTGTCCGCATCCTCAGTATCACCATGGCATACGTTTTCAGTAAGGAGACGTCGAGCCTTCTCCTGCAAGGCGGACTCGTTGTCGCCCTCCTCGCGGTTGACTCCCGTCTGCTCGGCAATGATCCGTGCCATGGTTTCTTGATCAGGAGCTGCGGATGCAACGCTGCCTGGGTCCTGGGGAATATCCTGCTCCGCGCTTGGGTCACGTGGCGCGGCAGGTGTTTCCACCAGCTCCGTCCATACGGGGAAGTCTGGATTGCCGAATGTGTCGATGCAATGTGTAAATAGACCACGCAACGTTTGCAGTGCGGGATGTTTCTGATGGATTGCATCTTTTGTGAAGTCTCGGAGCTCCGCAATACTGTCCATCAATATGTTTTGATATACTTTGGAGATCCAATGAAAGACGCCTGTAGTCGACTCCTCGATGGTCTCTGGATCCAGGTAGTGTACCAACTTTTTGAAAAAGCGGTCTGCACTGCAAATTGGTAAGTCACGTGCCCATTTGTGGGTATGATCATAATTCAAGTAGTATGTCTCTGCATTCCACGCTTTGGATCCAAATTGAATCTCAAAACGTAAGTGCGATTGTGTTTTATCAACCACAATTCTGTCCGCGCCAGTGTGCACCTCAATGATTTGTTTCATCAGTACCATAGGTGAATCCACCAACAACTCCGACGTCCAGCGGTATATGCGGCGGTCATATGACTGTCTAATCCACTTTGAATCCTCCTCTGGGTCGTAGTCGGGGTGGTTGAGGAAGTCTTCTGGCGGGTCAATAACGTTGTCGAGTATGCTCGCATCAACGTGCTCATCTGCTTGGGTCTCTGCTGATAGATCTGCTCTCATATTGTCATTTGCAGTTTTTTCCTCGTTGGTAAGCGGTATGTTTGATATATCCACGATAACGGTAGCCAAAGGTTCATCAGATGAGCCTGCAGTTTGGCGAGGTCCATCGTCCGCAGGAGCGGTATCTTCGGCAGGTGTGGCCACCAGCTCTTCGGGATCGGGTGTCCGAGGAACGGGCCGTCTGGTCGGTGTACGTGGAATGCGTGGCCTATAAATGCTCGGCATACCAAGATATGGCAGACTGCCATCTGTTTTGCGTTGAAGTATTTTATCACGGCATGAGGATGGTCCTTCCAGCACAGTATTCATATATGTCGGGTCAATGGCATATTCGTCGATACGAATTGGTAATGCAAAGACAACGCCCTCGAGAGGCATGCTTTTGTCATTGTACCATATGTTTACCCATCGTAAACCGTAGTTGAGAATAGGTATCTGTACCGCGAAGAACTTGTCAAAGACTCCGAAATGAATGATTGGGCCATATATGTGGCCCTTATTCATGGGGACCTTGGTATTGTGATTGCCCTTGGGGTAGTGATTGTCATAATGATAACATGTGATAGATCCCCAATTCTTAATGATAATGAAGTCCCCCATGCGAACATCATTAAATGCAGGCCGACGATCCCAATCTTTTTGTGTAATATTTGATGTAATAGGTCGAAGAGCCTCTCGGCAGCATGACAGGGCAATTAACCATTCTTTATCATATGCTTTGTGATTGGTGTCCGCAATCATAGCACGGACCATTTGTTCATCCAAGGCATCGGCTCCAGATATGCGACTAGCAGGGTTTTGCCCCCAGCTGAGCCGAAGGTGCTGATGCTGACGTTGTCCTTGGCTGCTCCATGTCCTGATCCGTGTCAGCAGGTGTGCTCCCAGGAGGGTCGTCGATGAACTCTCCAGGAAGATAGGCGCAAATTTCGTACTTGCTCAATGGCGGTCTCGCGGCCAATGGCGGGTAGTCCCATGTGGGGCCGTCCGGCCATATCTGCTGGCCGTGCATGTGATGTGGTTTGAGGCGGCGAATTGCAATAACTGCCGCAGCTGGAACCACGTCCTCTGTCATGATAGCGCCTTGAGCGCCCAGCCAAAATCTGCAACCAGCTTTTGTGGCGATCTCCATATTGATCACTAGCTCGACCTCGTTCTTGTAGTGATTGAACTTATATGACTCTACTGAGGTGTGGGGATTCTTCTGGATATTGTCTAAATATGTGCTGGAACTGAAGAATGCCTCCGTGCGCTGTGATGGTTTATGATGCTTC